GTGGAAAGGTGTCCTTAAACGGACCAACCCTCTTTTTCTTTTCTATGTCTCTGTGTAAAACAATCAAACAGTGTCCTAATGTTCTCCATAATAGAGTGGCAAATTATTGGACTTAGACACCTAATAAGGAATAAGGACACCTCCGAGGTTCGGACGTTGCAAACTAAAGCCAATTAGATTCCTCCTACATATACTATAATGTTATTGGCAGTTTTGGTAATCGTTCCATTATTGTTGTTCCCTGAGAACACCTTTTTCTCTACTTGCCGTATAAGTTGCACAAGGTACACCAACTGGCCTTCAATAATGCGGAGTAGCCAATAGCTTTATTACGAAGGGAGACTTAAATGGAAGTCAATATTAATTAAATTCAATTGATTAAGAGTGTATTTAATTAAGGAATTTTTAAATATATATTTTTGTTATACATATTAAAAATGTAATCAATATACTTTTTATTATAAATTTGTCTTTAAAAAAAATAAAAATTCATATTTAATTTATTAACAATTTAATTAAATTTATTTATGTGATAATAACATTAAAATTAATGTCAATTTTTATATTTTTATATATAAATTTATAATAAAAATATATCCTTTATTTACGTCTTAAAGGCATATTTAAAAAAAAAAACACCCTTAATTAAACTATAATCTTCAACATACTAAACTATAGTCAATATATATATATATATATTTTTGAATAGTTTACAATTTGGTGGCGAGGTGATTTGAACCCTAATCTTCCAATTTGAAGGATTTACCTTACGAGAAGTGTAGAGTCGTCATTGGGCCGAGAAGTGTAGAGTCATTGGGCCACGAAACCTAAGTGCAAACTATAGTCAATATGTTTGTTCTAATTATTGCGTAAATCTAATACCGAAACCAATTTGATGAATTTGGAGCATCTGCCGGCAAGAATTACCTCACCACCGAGACCTACACACGAAACAAAATCCCTTATCAAAATAGACAACTCTCGAAGTATTTTTTCCCTCTTCAACTCAGCTTTTTTTCTTTTTTTAACAAATATAATTTGAGGTTGGGGATGAAGAATTGCAATATAACAGCCCCATAGTTTGAATTTTTATCATTATTAAAATATTAGATACAATTACCTAAGAACTTATTATGAGTCCCGGTGCCTCTCTTCAACTCAGCTTATTAGAAGTTACATCATGTAAATGATACGTAGTTTTAAAAAATGTTTTTTTTTTAGTTGCACAATGAGATGCAATCATCTTTTATCCATTTTTTCATCCGTTTTCTCATCCCACTCGCATGCCATGAAATTCAAATTCAAGATCTTTTACTTTTAATGAAAAGAGATGACCACTGAATTATTTAAGTCGTTAGCAATTTTAAAAAATGTTAAGCATTTGTTATATATATTTTCATGTTACATTTTTTGTTTAGTTTTCATATATTTAGAAATCAATTTTTCTATGGTTAAACGCAAGTTATCACGTCAAAACTAAAAAAATTTATAAATAATTATATTCTCATTAATTCTTTAAAAAAAAAATCAAAATTTTAATGAAAATGATAAAATGCGAGTGCTCTAAGCCGTTAACTCCTTGGGTAACATTTCTTTATGTCAAAGGCGTGCAAGTTGCACAAGCACAAAATCTATGAACTTCAACAAATCCAAATTAATTTTACTAAACAAAAACTAATATATTGTGATACTCTGTCTTGGTTTAGACTTCATGATCAGAGCCGCCCCTGTCTAAAAAATATATATATAGTGACGACCACCTCTATAATGTGTCTATATTTCCCTAAGGAACATTTTAAACGAGTACAATTTGGGATATATAACTGGTGTAAAAGAAAAGATTTTAGAAATGGACGGTGGTTAATTAGAAGATTTAATTAATTCGGATCAACTGAAATTATCATTTGTCAAAACGCAGATTCAACCCTTTTTTAATATCAAAATGGGATTGAAATGGACCGTCACCTAATCCCTGTCGATTGTTCTTCGTTATCGACTGTGATATTTGAAGACCATATTAAATCACTCAACACCTAAAACATCATAATTGACTTAAAAAAATTCCCAACTGCTATCATTTGAGAAATATTAAATAATTACCAACAAAGAATATTCAAATAAGAAATTCCCTTCACATTGTGTCAATAACATGTACTATATAGTTCAACAAAAATATGACTGACTGTTGATGGTTATATAAGTTTTTGAAGTATTTAATGATAAGTTTTATAATGAAAGAGTTTTTTTTTTTCTTCTTTTTAAACTTTTTTTATTTATTTTAAATTTTAAATTTAAGATTTCTTACATAAATATTTAAAATTTTAATTATTAAAATATTAACTAGAGGTTATAAGTTACTAATTAAGGTACCTCTGTGTTAACAATTTATTAATTTGAATATAAGTTTAATTTTTCAAAATAAAATTTTAATTGTGAGCTTTATAAATGAAGAGATATTTATTAAAGAAATTTCTTTTAATAAAATTTAATATATTTTAATTTTAAATTAATTAAAATTTAATATAATTTTAGTACATATATTAAATATATTAATAGTCATTTTCTTTAAAAAAGATGAAAGGAGTATCTTCCTTTAATTTGGTTTCACACGATCGAAACGCAAGATGTTGAACGGGGTGAGTATTGCTGGGGTCCAGATTCTGAGCGGCGTGATGCCGGCATGACGGTCCAAACTCGCAATATCCATTGCATCCCACCGAATCCAGATGTTTCACACATAAGATGCAAGCATGCCGTAATCTTGTCATTTACTCAACGCACTCCTCTCACATCCACTTTTGCCCATCAACCAAGAATTTCACAACCTATTTTTATTATTAGTGGTTAATGCCCACAAGCTA